TTCTTTTCAAATAACTATTCTCGTGTAATAGAATTTTTCAATGCTTTTTTGAATTTTTACACTCTTGTCAAAATTTATTAACCCTTACATTTTCATTATGTTTTGTTTTTTTTGGATTATTAATTTAAAAGCAAAAAATTTTTAATTTTTTTTTTTGATTTTCCAAAATTTTGTTATAATAATTTTTTTCTTTGTTTCTTTAATATTAAATATTTTTATTTTTTTTTTTAATAAATCGTTTGAATATTTTAATTAATTTATTATTATTATAATTATAATATTATATTAAATATTTTTTTATATATTTAGATTAAATTTTTAGCTATATGGTAGTATAGTATAGAGAGTAATATAAATTTATCCAAAGTTTGAGTTAATTTTGTTTTTTAATTTAAATATTTCAGATTTTGTTTTTTTCGTTTTGTAAATTGATTTTGGTGGTTATAAGTATAGAACTGTTTTCCATTTTTATATTTTATCATTATTATTTTTTTTTAATTTATTTGTATATAAAGATTAAATTATAAATGTTATATTTTGTTTTTATATATCAAATATTATTTAATATATTGTAAATTATTATTTGAATAATTGCTATTATTATAAAATATTAAGAAAAGGTTTTATCAAAATTATATTAAGTGTATAATATTTAAAAAAAAATATTTTTAATGCAGCAGTGTTGGTTTCTTATTTCGTTTGTCTTGTTTTATTTTAAATAATTCATTTAAAGATTATATGAATTATAATTAATTTGTTTTCTTATTTAAATATTGATCAGTATATTAATAATAATGTAAATTATGTGATAATTTTTATCTTTCTTATACCAACATTAAAAGAATATTTTTTATTTTGAGAATTTTTCAATTCATAATCTCAACAGTTTTTTATATTAAGAATAAAATTTTTAAATTTAACAATTTTAAATTGTTTAAATTTATTATCGAAAATTTTGAAACATAATTATGAAATTTGTATGAAATATTATCAATTTTACGCATTAAATATTATAAGCAAAAAAAAAAAACTAAATAGTTAAATAATTAAAAATAAATTTTTTTTTTTTGAATATTTTCCAATATTGTCGAAAAATAGCATCGTTTGTAAAAAATTTTAAAAAATTTTGTAAAATTAATAGAAAACCAAAATTTTACAATAATAAAATTAATAAATATAAAATATTTAAAAAAAAACTTATTAAAATTAATTTTAAAAATTGGAAAATTTACTTTAAAAAAGTTACAAAACTAGAAAATCAATGTGCTTAAAAAAATTATTCAAAAATATTTGTGCAATTAATTTTAATATTTGTAAATAAAGCAATTAAGTATTTTGTTAAGAAAAATCACATTCTTTTTCGCATTTAAAAATTCATTTATTTTTCTATTATATTAAATTATTTGAAAACATTTAAATTCAAATAAAATCGTGAAAATGAGTTAAAAAAAAAAAGATGTTCTGTGGGAATTAAAAAAATTATAGACAAATAAATAAAATAATAAAAAAAAAATAAAATACATAATTAAATTTAAAATACACATTTATTGAACGTAATATAGTACAAAATGACAAAAAAAAAAAATAAAGAAATCACGACAAAAAAAAATGATTAATTAAATAATAAAAATACACAATATTAATTTAAAAAAAAATATATGTATATTTTTTTTTCTCTTCAACAATAATCACTCAATTTTCTTCAAAGATTCATCACAGTCATCTTTGTGATATTTTTCTAATTTAATTGAAATTTATATTTCTATTCTAAAATTAAAAAAAATACCTGAAAATTATTATTATAAATGAATTTTCTGTGATAATTCTTTGAAAAAATTTTAATGAATATTGTTTAGAAAAGAAAAAAAAAACTATACATACACTCGAAATATGAATAGGCTATTTGAAAAACTAAAATATCTGAATAATTTATGATTAAATATTGAAATATTTTCTTTAATCTCTAAAATAGAAAAAATAGGCATATTACGTTATTTTTTTTTTTTAAATAATTTTAAATGGCATTAATTAAAATAAAATTTTCTGTTCGAAATTTTGTGAAATAGAAATTCGAAATCAAAAAAAAAAAAAGGTATTTCTAAAAAATGCAGTTCTTAAAGTTAGAATTGTAAAACTTTGAAAGCTTTATGTACAAATTAAATGTAAAGATTTTAAAATGCTTTACAGTTCTAACATTAAAAATTGCATTTTTAGAAATAACTTAAAATTCTATTTTAACTTAAATAAATTAATATATTAATTTTTTTGTAATTTAAAGAACATTTGCATAATATATATATTTTTTTAAAGCTAGCTCTATATTTAATTGTTTATAAATTAATTATGATTAATTAATTTAAAAAATTAAATTAATTTATTTTTCGTTAACTTTTTGTTTGTTTTATTTTCTGTTTTGTTTTTTTTTACTTTTTATTTATTTTTTTTTTCTTGTAATGTTCTATTTTATTACATAATATAATAATTAAATATTATAATTAATAAATTAATGCCAGATATTAAATTTTCGAATAAAAAATGCCTAATTTTAATTTTTATTAATAATTATTTTTAATTTTCTCATTTTAGAATTGTTTTTTTTTTTTCAAAATTATATAATATCATTATTCTAAAAATTCTTATGTTTTTTTTTTTTTTTTTGTATATTAAATATAATATCAGTGATAAATTAATAAAGTTGACTTGAAAATTAATTAATTTTAAATTTACATTATATAGTATTTATTATGAATTTTAAAAAATAAAAATGATTTTATTTAAAAAAAAAAGAAAATTATTCATTTATTATTAAATTTCTATTACATAGATTTTGAAATTATTAAAAAAATTTTTAAATAAAAATCACGAATTTTCAAAAAAAAAAAAAAAAATAAATGTATGTTAATGTTTTTTTATGAATTTAAATGATTTTTAAATTATAAAATTATTAAAATCGAAAATTATTAAAAATCATATTTTAATTTAGATTTATAAACTTAAATTTATAAATTAATTTTTTAAAATCAAACAAAAAAAAAAAATATTATTAATTTAAATTTATCTATAAAAATTGAATAACTATTTACATATTTTGCAAAAACTAATTTTATGTAACAAGAATATCACATTTTTTGACTTTTATATTTCGACAATAATTATTTTTCATTTTCTTAGTTTTCAATTTTTTTCTGCGTTCTTTCGAAGAATTTCATTTTTTTCATTTTCTTTTATTTAATTTTTTTTTTGAATAACTTGAATTTATTAAATTAAATTCATTATAGTTGTGGGTGTTTAGTTATCTAAAACAAAAGAAAAATTTAAATTAAAATTATAAAAATTAAATTATGTGATTATAATTAATTATAAATTAAATCTACATAGATTAAAATTTAATATTTTAATTTAATATACATATATAAGTAAGGAATAAAAAAATAAAATTCTTCCGCAGAATCAATATTAATTTCTTATTTTTATAGTTATAATATTGTAAAACATAAAATCAGTTAATGCTAATACCAATTAGTTCGCTTTTTTTTTTTTTGTTTTTAAACTTCTTTAAACTTAATACTAAGTCATTTAAAAAAAAAAAAAAAAATAAAAACTATAATTAATAAAACTATAAATATAATATATATATGAATATAAAACTAAAATCTAAATAGGATACAGATTTCGAAAACTAAAAAAATTCATATAATATAATATGTATGTATGTATGTATGTAAAGAGAAATATTTCAATCATAATATTACAAATTCTATCAAAATTATATAAATAATTCTATTTCGTTTTACGTTAATACAGTTTTAATTGTTGAATACAGACTAGAGTTTACATTTAGTGTAAACGCTTTACATATTAATAGAATTATTTTATTGTGATTTCCAAAATGTATAATTAAAACTTTAATTAAATTTTAAATTTATTTATGAATCAATTTAAAATTAGTCTGAATGAAATAGAATTACTGAAATAGAATTCTTAATTATTTTATATTTTCTAATGAAATACAAAAAAATGTAATTTTTATTACTTTGTTATACATAATAAATTATTCACAATGGTTACAAGATAATACTTTAATACCATATTTAAAAAATTTTTATACATTTAGTATGATTTTTTTTTAGAAAAGTATGATTTCGAAATTCAATAAAATGATTGATTTTTTTCCTTTAACTATATATACATACAAATCATTTAAATTAAAAATATTCTTATAATTATAACGACAAAAAATATTTGTTTTTCTTTCGATCGATGAGCAACATAATATTATTATTGTATAAATCTAATTTCTTTATATTTTTAATGTATTTACTACAAAAAATGTAATTGTTGTTAATATAATTATTGTAAAAAAAAAAAAATATTGATTTTAAAAATCAATATAATATGGAAGCTTTTAAAATTAAACATACATAAAAAAAAAATGGCAAAAATTATTTGTCTCGATATTTTGTTATTATTTAAATATAATTAAGAGAAAAACACATTATTTAATTAAAAAAAAGTTTTTTTACAAAATTACAAAAAACAAAATGAAAAAAAAAAACATTCCAATTATAAAACACACTTTGTTTATTTTTTTGTTATTTTTCAAAAAATCGAAATTCAAAACACACAAAATTATAATTGCAAAAAAAAAAAATAATAATTAATATGGGAGTATATAAAATATAAATTAAAAATATTTTTTTTTTATAAAACACATTTTTGCATTACAAAAAATACGAAAACAATTTTATTCAATAAAATATTTCAATAAAAAAACAAAATGTTTAAAAATTACTTTGAAATAAAACAATCGAAATTTTAATTCCAAAATTTTCCACTAGGTGAAGAATATATGAGAATTATGTAATTTTTAAGAGAGAAATAGGAAAATTTTGAAGAGAAAACGATATTGAATACATGTGATGTAAATATGTGAAATGTGAATATGCAATATTAATCGATACTCGAATTGTTCAATGACATTTATTTTTTGTTTTGCAATTTGATTTTGATCGATGATGATCAAATAAATGTTATAAATTTATAAATTTTTTGTAAATTTCTTAGATTTGGAATTATAAAATGGACTTATAAATTTTATCTTTTCTCTCATATATTTTTATTTTTCTGCAATTCTCAAAAAAAATATTCTTTATTTTATACCTTTTCTCATACTTTAATAATATTTTGGTACTTAATATAAAAAATTTTTTTAATGTTATTTAAAAAAAAAATATTATAATAATATGGATAGATGTCGTGACAGTATTTGAAATTTTACAAATATTTTGCGCATTATTATTCGTTTGTTTTACGAAATTTTTTTATTAATTTATTTATTTATTTATGTATTATTTATTACAATCAAATATTTTTATTTTTCATATGGCTATTTTGTGTTTTATTTTTGTGTGTGTGTGTGTTTTCTTTCTTTTTTGGTTTGCTATATTTGTTGTTTTTTTTTTCAATTATAATTTTTTTATATATTTTGATATTTAATATATAAATGAATATATTTAATATTTTTTTTAGAGATAATTAATTTTTTTTTTCTTTTGTTTCTTTTACTTTTTATATGAAATTAATTTTGTTTTTTGTTTTCTTTTTCTTTCTTTTTTTTTGTTTGCTGATTATTTTTCACTCTTAAATTTTATAATAATATATAATAGTAATTTTTAAATATAATTTTTAATTAGTTTAAATTTTTTTTAGTTTTCTTTAAATATTTGGTTTAGTTTTTCCATTTTTTTCTTTTTTATAATATTTTATGATATTTTTTTTTTTGTTTTTTTTTTCTATTTTTCTGCTTTTTTTTTATATAAATGTGCATTCAGATTTTTTGTTGCTGATTAATTCAAAAATTTCTTACAAATTACACTGCCATAGTATCGTAGGCTGTGAGTCCTGCGCTACCTTGTTGTTGGAGTTGTTTTGTTGGGCCGGCTTCGTTTCTATATATAAATGTTTTTTATATGTGAAGAAAACGAAAAAAAAAAAATGAATAATATATTAAAAAAATATAAATATAATTAAATTTTAATATTTTTATTCTTATGTAATAAAATTTAATGTAATCGAATTAAACAAAAAATATATTATATAAACATGAAATTTTTTTTTTTTTTTTGAAACTATAATAAAAAAAAACAATTAAAGGATATAAGCAAAGCTTCTTATAGGTATATTTTCATTTCTTATTTTCATTTCAATTATAAATATATAAATCTATAAAATCAATAAATATTTTTTAATTATTTTAGAAATACTAAAGCTTTTTGTTTTTTTTTTTTTCAAATTTCTTGTATATAAACATAAAAATTATTTCTAAGTTTTTAATGTTTTAAATTTCTAAGTCAAGGTACAATACAAATTTGGGAAAATAAAAAGAACAAAGAATCAAAAAAAAAAATTCAAACAAAAGTAAAAAATTTTACAAAAAACTTACTTTACTTTTTTTTTAATTTTTAAATATTAGAAAAATTTTTAACATGCACAAACTTTTTTTTTTAATTCTTACAATTTCATTCTGATTTAATATTAACATTTGAATAAAAGATTGCTGGAATCAAGAGAATAACTAAGGTTATTTATTTATTATTCTTATAAAATAATTTTTTAATTTAAAATTAGCAACAATATTTTACAATTTGTACGAAAAATGCTGAGTGGGGTGTATTAAGAACAATAATATTGGATATTTACATATTAATATGATTTCTCCTTAAAACCAATTTGATTTGAGGTTTAGAGTTACAATAAAAAAATTGACAGAAAACATTTTTATGTCAAATTATTAAAAATTTCGCGTCAATTAAAAAAAATATTAGTTCACAATAAAATAATTGTAATTTTATTTCGGTATAAAAATTGAGTATACAATCTGACAATTCTATTATTTAAAGAGATAGATAATTTATATCAAATTCACTCAATTTTCATTTCACTCAATCAACGAGTGCCAGTTAAAAAATGTTATAACGTGAAGAGATGAACGTCAATTTTCATTTCACTCAATCAACGAGTGCTAGTTGAAAAATGTTATAACGAGAAGAGATGAACGTCATTCCTTATACTTCATTCGCATTTGAAAATTTGAAGAAACAAGTAATAGAATAGTTTTGTAATTGCGACTGTACACATTCAATGTTTAATATCCGGTAACAATTTTATATTTAGTATAATATAAAATATTTGAACATAATAAAAATAGTACCGTGCATTCTACAATATGGCGATAAATAAGAAAAAAATATGTAGCTGCATTTCTATAGTATATCTAGAAAATTTAATTACCGACTCAACTAAACAAAGAATTTGAACATTTTAGTTTTAGAAAATTCAGTACAACTCACACCTATTTTTTATTTCATTTCATTGAAAATATTATACAATGGATGACAATTAATCCAATTATAAAATGGATGACAATTAATCAAAAGTTGTAATTAAATTTTTCACCGAATAAGTAAAGTATTATAACAAAATAAGGCAGAGGATATATTGGAGCGTTTTTTGAAGATAAAATTTAAGAAGTATAATGGATAAAATCTAATAAAAGAATGGATAAATTACTGACTCTGCAGTACAAATTGTAACGATTAAATTTTGGAGATTTATTTAACCTGAAAATAAATAGCATCAGTAAGCTTATTAACAATTCACAAAGGGCACGTAACATATTTTTTGGTCAATATTAAATTTCCCTTTCTATTTGGTTTTGGTTAGTATTTAATTTCATTTGATTTAAAAATAATTGGAAAAGCAATATATTTTCTAGTATAACTATTTTACGAGACTACTGTTTTCGGTTTTAATCTACAAAACAAAACTTTATTTTTGCAATTGAACTATTATTTCATTATTATATTAATAATTAAATTTTAATTTATTTAAAAAATTTAACTAGTCCCATTTCTTACTTTTATTATTTTTCTAGTAAAGTTTCGTTATATAAAAGAATCGTTATATCACATTATTTTCTTATTTAATAATAATTTAAACAAAAACATTTTGTAATTATTCAATTTTTACCTTTTTTATATTGATAAATATTGTTCCATAATTATATAATAGGTATAATTAATAATTCTTTGGTATAATTTTAATTACTTTAAGTAGGTGGTAGACAAAAAATTAATTTTAATTTTTTTTCCCTAAATAATAGTCCTCTAAACTGTAAAATATAATATGTATTATTATATTTATAGTTTAATTTAATTGAAAACTTTTGAATTCAAATTATTAATTAGTAAAATTAGTTTTACCACCGAAAACTATATGAAAAATTATTTTGGCATTTTTATTTTATGTCGACTTTTAATTAATTCAAAAAAAAAAAAGTTAATGATAATGAATTACAGAAATATTAAAATTATAGAAAATATTATTTAAACTAAAATTTATTATTAATAAATGGGCACTTAAAAAGTGAGTTAAACTTTTAAAATTCCTAATATTTTCACTTCTATTTTTTAAATGCAATTGAATACATTTTTATATTTTGATTTGAACTATGTTAAATTTATTTTTGTTCAAATTCAATATTAAAAAATAATTATCAGCTTAGAGATTTCATTAAAGAGATTGAAATAATTTTATTAATGAAATATTTAATTATTTTAATTAAAGAGCAAAATTATATATATTTTTTTTTTTTAATTTAATAATTTTGAATCTCGGCGAATTTTATTATTTTAACGTATTGTATACAATGTTCAAATAAAAAATAATAATTCAAAAATATATTCTTATAGTAGAATAAAAATTCAATAATTTTCTTATTTATAAATGAATTATACAACAATAATATTTTATTTTAATTTTCAGGAAATGGGGATAATAGGATTTATGAAATCAAAGTTTGAAAAGGTAAATAAAATAAATTAATATGAAAAATAAAATTAAATCCAAATTTTTTTTTTTTAGATATATGGGCAACTACAACTAAAACACTATTTTTTAAAATAAAAGCCAGTCAAAATGCATAAAGAAATCTAATTTTCAAATTAATAACCCCAACATAAGCAGAAAAAAAATGAGAAATAATTAAGGAAAAAAAAAACTTGCAAACCAATTAATTATGCAAAAATATTATAGTGAAACTACTTTAATTATTATTAATTAAAACTTATTAATTATTTAATTTTCTACTAAAAAAAATGAAAACAAAATGCTTAAATAAAAAACGGCACAGTTTTATTATTTTTTTTTTAATATAATTTATCTATAATTAAATGAAAAAAAAATATTTATTTAACATGCAATAATTAAACTTACTGTTTCCTGTTAGCCAAAAAAACCGTTATGAAAATGTTATAATAATAATTTATAGGAGTATAAAATGTTAGTTAAAAAACTGATTTTGTATTAGTAAAAGAGCAACTTTCTTATTAAAATAGCAAAACCAAAAAAAAAAGGGCAAAAAATTCGAAAAATATAAAAAAAATAAAATTATAAAATTTGTGCAGAAAAGAATTTTTGATAAAATACAAATAATTTATATTTTAAATTTTTTTGAAGATTAAATAAATTTAATTTATATAAATTTATTGAATTCATAAAATAATTGAAATTATTATACACATAGTATTTTCAAAGCCAAAATATATATTTTAATATAAGCTTTTTTAATTTTTTAAACATTTATATTAAATGTATTTTTAATTAGAAAATAGCCTAATTCTTATTAGAGATTTAAATAGATTTCATATTTTTCAATTCGAATGGAATTTGAGTTTGATATTCCAATTACGTTTACGACACAATATGTCTATGCAAATATCTATTACAAACCATAGAAAAAACTTCTAATAAATATTTGCATAAAATCACAATATCGTGGCAGAAGTGAACTTTCGTTTAAAAATTATTTAAACATATTTAAATTTTACATAATTTAAATATTTTCGAAAATTTTTCGAGCAATACAGTTCGAATAAAGATGAATTTGAAAATTCTATCAAAAATTCTTATTTTTTACATAAAAAAAAAACTATTTACATTATTTTGCCCTTTTTTTTTATGATGCTTTTTAATTTTAAGAAAATATTTCTGATTTTTACTTTACCTTTCAATTAATTTTCGCATTTCTTCAGTTGAACGCTGGTCCCGTTGATTTGGGGAACGTTTGGCTGATTTATTTAATTTTTTTTTGTTTTTTTTTGTTTTTTATGATAACAATTATTCAATTAAATTTCAAAATTTTTTCGTTTGTTTTTATTCATGGAAATTACAAATAAATTAAAATACGTCCCACAAAAAAACAATGAAATCAAAAAAAAAAAAGAAGATATAATGTAAAAAGAAAAAAAAAATGAAAAACAAAAAATTAATTAATTAATTCTTATTTAATTAGTTTTTATATTTCTTATTTAATTTATTTATTTTGTAATTGCAAAATGTAAAATTTTATAAAAATGAAAAACAGAATTTTTGTTTTTATTTTGAAAGTCTTTAGTGTGTAAATTTTTGATTAGAATTAAAAACAAAAAAATTTACTTTTTTAAATGTATGTTTTTTTTTTTTGTGATTAAAATTTAAAAATATTTTTGCAATAAAAATGATAATAATATGTATAGGTTATTGAATAATGATTTTTCGAGATAAAATTTGATATACAAATAATAAAATAATTTTATATACACTGAATTATTTTGTGGCTTGTATAGATTTTAATTATTTATATTAAAAAATATAATATAATGAATTTAATAATGAAAAATTTAATAAGAAAAAAACAAAAATAAAATAATTTGTACAAAAATAACATCGAAAGCTGATTATGTACTTTGGACCCAGCTTCAAATGGTTATGTAATAATTTGTCTTAAATAATTTATACGTTTTTTTTTTTGTTTTACAAATTTTTATTATTTTAGAATTATATAGAAACAATATGGATTCAAGCAAAAAGGTTTTTAATATAGGATATTTTATAAACAATTAATTCTAAATAATTCATGATTGATAAACATTATATATATATAGGCTGTCAATTTGGCATTAATTAATAATGAGCGAGATGAATCAATAAATATTTTATATGAACGTATATTTATAATTATAAATGATGCGATGAATATCATATTTAATTGATGCGTATAGCTAATGTATTATATAAATATTATGAATTGACATTTTAGAAAAATATGACTGGATATAATTTATTATATATGATTAAAATAATTAATTATTATGAAAAAGGAAAAAAAAAAAGTAAAATGATTGAACGTTTTAACTATTGAACAAAGCACGTACATTTAGTTTGTTATTAAAAAAAAACGATATAGCGAATTAAAATTAAAAATATATCCATTTTTTATTCTTTTTGTCAATTTATGAAAAAGAAAGTAAAAAAAAGAAAACATATGAAAACATAATTTGCATCTTTCTTTAAAAAATATAAATAAGAAAAAAAGAAAAGTTAATAAAGAAAAATATTTTTGCGGGAAAAATAAAAAAAATTTAAAAACACAATTTTTTTAAAGTAAAATTTCTGTAATTCAACGAGATCGGGGTAACAAAATTTGGAAAATTTTTCAATATTTTTTATTCTGAAAATAATTTTTATATTGAACGAGCACGGTTTACGTAAGAGCCATATTATGAAAAATTTGAATTAACTATTTTGTTTTTTTTTAAATAATTAAAATTAATTAAAAAAATTTAGTTTTTTCATTAATTTTGCAATTTTTTGATTAAGTGAAACAAATATTTTCATTTATACAGATATAATCTTGGAAAAAAAATCGATTGATTACTCGAAATCGACTAGTGATAAAAGCCATTAATTATAAACCAAAAATAAGAAGAGTACGAGTATATATTGCCTGTAATTACTCGTAACTATTATTAAGAACCTTTGAAACTTCTTAAGAAAGCGTATTATATTAAATTAAACAATAGTTCTAAAATGAACTAGGATTTCAAAAATATATTTTTATATTAATATATATTTTTTATAGTTAATGTAACACCGGAAAATTATCATCAATAAGATTGAAGTCTTCATATTTTATAAAGTTTGTATCTCCTTACAATAATTTGAAATATGAATATTATTAAGAATATTTTTCTTAATATACTAACTAGCATATAAATTAATATTTTCAGATTTTTATAGAATTAGTTTTCATTAAAAAAAAAAATCACAGCCCGACGTAATATTTTCCTAAATCTTTTCAAATATTTTTTCAATATATTTGCTTTTTTACATGTTACGAAAAAAAATTAAAGGTAATTATAAACTTTCGAATTTTTTTATTAAAAAATTTTAATTATAAAATTAAAATTTGATCAAAATATGAAAATAAATATACATATATAATATTTGAATTTATGACAAATTAATATTATAACATAAATCATATTTATTCGTTTTAAAATTAATTCAAACACCACAACAGAAAAAAAAAAAAAACAATGAAATTTTATTCACAATTAATATTCATGCAAATACACACAAAATTTACAAATGTCAAAAAAAAAAAAAACAGATTTTTTGTTTTTTTGCAAAATTTTCAAAATTCAAACAAAAAAATTTTAATACAAATATTATACACAATATGAAATCAAAAACAAAAAAAATCATATATGTTTTCATATTATAAAAACGAAACCAAATTAATAATAAATTAATTAAAAAAAAAACAAATAATAGAGGTACATAATTAATTAAATAAAAAACACACAATTTTATTATAGGTACTTTCTGGTTTTTTTGGGTAAATTATGGGGGAAATTAATTTTAATGCAATACTAAATTTAGATATTACTCTTTCCTTGCCATATTAAACTTTTAGGAATACTATATATATGCGACATGAATAACAATCATGCTATACATTTACATTATGATTTAAAAAAACATTCACAATATAATGTACACAAACTATAATGACTCAGATGAATTTCAAAATGCACTCATTATATGTTTTTACGATATTTATTTTTTTTTTTTGTTAAATAATGGTAAAAATGGTATTACTGTTTGAAATGGAGAGAGATTCATTATTATTTTCTTTAAATTTTTTATTTCTTACTTTGACGTTTTTTTTGTTTTTTTTTTTTTTTTTCAAATCATTCATTTACTTTAATATCAATGAATTCTATTATACAAAATATTTACATTATTACTAATCATACGTTTAATATTAATCAAATTTAATTAACAAAAAAAAAAAAAAACAATATGAATTTCTATATGATATTTTTATTGGAAAAAAAAAATAAAAAATAAAAAAGAAAATATTCTATGAGATGAGGTGAGTGATTTTTTTTTTTTCTTAAATGAACGAAGGTATTTTTTTTCTTAAATACTTATGGTACTTTTTTTTTAAAGAAACATAAAAAAAAACATTTCAAATTCAATCAATTTGCTATCTAAATTTGTATGAATTTTATATTATAATTTTTAATAATTCATTTTTTTTTTAGTATAATTCATGAACAACTCAAATTTCAAAATGACATGAAAGAAACAAAAAAAAACAAAAATCAAATATATAAAAACTCAAAATTTTGACAAGCGATTAATATTATTTTAGATACAATATTAAGAAAAATAAAAGAAATTATTGTGAATTAAAAATTTTCACATAAATAATGAAACAAAAGAATTCCTTTTTATTTTTATAGTTTTTAAATAATTTTAGATTTCAGTGAAACAAAAACAAATTATTCAGGAAATAGAAATAAAAATTTAGGGCTAATGAAAAACCTTACTTTAATTAAATAAATTATAAAACAAAAAAAAGTTGTTACTAATATTTTATTGTGGAAACGCAACGTGAAATTTTTGCAACATTGTTTATAAACAAAATTTTTAAATTTTCTCTTTTCTTAATTAAGTTATATCGTACATTTTACCAATAATACAAGTTAAATTTTGAATTAATTATTAAAATTACTCATTTATCAATATTATGTGAATATGACATTTATATTGTACTCAATTTATGTCAATGAATTCAGTGTTGCAAAAGAAAAAAGAGAATAATTATATTGTATAAATCGGTGTCGTTTATTAACTCAATTAAAATTGAAATGAATGAATCGAAAACAATAACAATTTTTAAATGATTTTATTGGGTTTGAATTAAATTTTTATTAAATATTTCAATTATACATAATATAAATATTTATTAAAATAAACAAAAATTCAAATGTCAACTCGAAATTTTTCAGTTTGGTTTTACACTGACCCCATATTATTTATGTTTAATAAATAAACAATTATAATTTAAATAGAAATTATAAAAATTCAAAATTAAATTATAAAAAGAAGGGTAAAACTTTTTAATATAACTATATTATTATTGCGAAAATAAAATATAATTAAAAGAAATTATATATTTTAAAGAAAAAACTTTATTTTTTTTTTTTTGGTTTTTGATTAAGTTGTTCTTTCACTCACCCTCAGCTGAATCTTCTGGGGTTTGGTAAATGAGTTAATTTTGAGATTTTTGCATTTTGTTAATTTTTGGTTTTAATATTTTAGATTTTTTTTTTTTTACATAATTTCGCGTAACGTAAAATACATAAAAAAAAAAGAAAATATAAAAAAAAATATATAAATTTAGCAATTTTAGTTAATTAATATTATAATTATATATATATGTATATATTTGATTTAGCTTAAAAATTATAATAATTAAAAAGCATTAAAAATATTTTTATAATAAGGTAGATATGTATGTATTTTTACATTTAAATTTGTATATTTAGGGTGTATTTATTCACCAGTTTCGGATTCAATTTATGTTTACATATTAAAATAATTGTGAATTTTGTAATGAAAGTATATAAACTAGCGATAATTTGAAAATTCTTAATTATTTTCTCAATATTTGGCACTTTTATGTCTAATATTTTATCTTTGATAAACGCATTAAAAGATTTTTCTTTATTTAAAATATTGTTATATACGATTTTAAAATGTATTGCATGAATAATTTCTTTTGAATTAAGAGATTCAATTGAATTCCATTATTTATTATTGAATTAGAAAAGATTGCCATTTTACAATAACCTAGTGGCTTGAAATATTGTTATAGAAAATCATTATTATAAGTCTTAACGGGTCTCAAAACTATTATACTTTATTATACTTAATTTATTATACAATTGGAAAAAAATTTTTGTAGTAAATTTTGAATACTTTGTTAGAAATTATAATACAAATCAAAATTTATGAATTTGTTAAATCAAAAGTACAATAAAAGTTTTATTCAAAAAAAAAAAAAATTGTTTATATAAAAATAAAAGTGCCAATATTATTTTTGTCAAAGAAAACAAATTAAAAATTTAATTTTGTTTGTTTTTTTTTTTTTTAATGTCCTCCTATTTTATATTTCAATTTCCTATAGTTTCATTTATTAAGAAATTTGTAAATAATATAAAAATCAAATTAAATTTCTTACCGCCATAATTGCCTCTTGGATGGTCACGATCACATTCAGCTTCAGAAATTTCATTACTTTCTTTGGAATCATTAAATGATGAATTACTCATATCATGATTACGTGGTGGAGGTGGTGGTGGTTCAGGAGATCCGTTACCATTTGGTAAATTACGTGCAGAACCTTTTTTCAATAAATATAAAAATTTAATATTCATAATATGCAATATTTAACAACACAAATTTATTAATTGATATTTTTTTTAAGCTTACCAACACTACGTCTTCCTACAGATCCGCGTGATCCATAATGATCATAAGGTGTACCATAAGGACCGCCATATTGTGAACCATATTGATCTTCTTCAGGTGCACAATTAGCTGGATCATCATATTCGGGACCATTATATAAACTACCACCTTGAGAATTAACTCTTGTATAACGACGCTATTTAATCAAATAAAGGAATAAATTTCATTTTTATTACTAATTTTTATAATTTAATTTTTTTTTTTTTAGTTTACATATTGATCTTCTTCAGCGCAATTAGCTGGATCATCATATTCTGGTGCTGGTTGATAAATAGAACTTTGACCACCTTGACTATTTTTGCGAGCATAACGGTTAGCTCTTGGCATTGATTGAGATCCAGATCTTGAATGAACGTGTCCAGGATGTCCTGGTGGACCCATTGTTCCAGCATGACCAGGACCAGTATGACCATTTTGATGTGGGAAAGTTTGGAAATTCATTGCTTTTGTTGGATCCATTTCTTCACGGAAACCGAGTAAATGGAAAGTAGCATACGGACAAATTTCATCTTCCATACCTTTTTTTTTTTTTAACACAATTTGATGAATGTTTGAATCACATAATAAAGACAAAAAAAAAAAAAAAATAGAAAAAAATATATTTACATTAGATTAAGTTTTTACAAAACATTGAGAATAAGTGCCAAATATTTACATGAATATAGCATTGTACTATAAATATTACTGAACTAAAGTGATAGGATTTGAAACATGCAAATAATCTACATATATAGGAAGGAAATTTTTCTGGGGGTGTCATTTTGCGCTTACCAGAGAAAATTCTTTCTTAATTTTTTTTTTTTTATTTTCAAAGTTTTACATACATAATTATTTTTAATTGAATATATTTTGTGAGTTAGTAATCAATCAGTTATTTATTATTTTAAATCCACAACTTTATATTATATTTGATGTCTTTTTGTTAGTATATTTGAAATAAAAATTAACTTAATTGTTAAAATTGAAATAAAATAAAATAAAATGTAATAAAATAAGAGAAAAATAAGCCAGAATCATTTTATACTTATTGATGCTCGCCATCAATATTACTGCAGGCTAATTGCAAACTCGAATTTATTCAAATTATATGTGGTAAAACGTTTCTTTTTTAATCGAGTACTTAGAATTTATGATTTTGTTTCAATTATTATATAGATAATTATCTATAACAATAAGTCAAAATGATCTAAGTTAGAATCACTAATTTTAAGCAAATGAAATTTGAATATTTAAAAATGAAGTTTCAAGAATTTAGGTCAAAATTTTTATGTAAATTTTTATTTAATTTTAATTTCTACTTAAAAATTTTGAATTTTAGTATAATTTTTATAATTTTTACTTAAATACAAATTTTTATCAAACAAATTTTCTATACCATGGTATATTTTTCTAAAAAATTATTTATTTGAAAAAAATAATCAAAATTCTTCAAAGATTTCTTACTCTAATTTGAATACTTTATCATCGCGAACGGATTAAATTTGCTTGAATTTTAAATTTGAACATGGAGGGCTCAAGTATAATATCTTGATTTTGTACTAAATTTGTTATAAAAATTTTTTCCACATAATTTTTATTAATCACCCTATTTTACTCTTATATGCTTTTGATTAATTTGTTAGTAAATAAACTAAAGTGAAATAAATATTTAATATAATTTAAATAATATTTTTTAACTGAAAGAAATACAAAAAGAAAAAAAAAAACAGAAAATATTAATAAAAATGAAAAAAATCCCAAAATAAACCATGATAATTTACATTTAATTCTACCTGGATGCGTATGATAAGCACATTCTTCTGTAGATCCACCTGGCCCAGCAAATCTATGTGGGATCGGTGGTGGTCTTAATTCTTCATAAATTGGACGACGTGGATCCCATGTCGAAAGATTCGCTCTCATTCCTCGGCCTTTATTTATTGCAAATTTTTTTTTCAATTGCAATTTTTTTTTGTTTAATTGTTTATTGATTTTTTTTTTTTGTTTTTATTCAACATTGTTATTGAATATATTTTCGAATAAGGGATGGTATAACACAAATACATTGATTTTAAATTTACAAAAATTGAAGGAGAGGGGAGTTTCAAAACAACAAAACAAAATAAGTGCATTCAGGGTTTTTTTTTTTGTTTTTTTAAGTATAAAAGTAAATTTAATTAAACATGAAAAAGAAAAAAAAAATTTATTTTTATAAAATTTTGAATTTGGAATAACGCCATAAGTTATTGGAACTTAGAGCATTGTGTAGTCTAAATTTTAAAAATTTTGAAAATCAAGTGATATAATTTTGAAAAATGAGATTTCTTTTTTTGAGTTTTTCAATATTTAAAAATTGTATTTGCTCTACTTTATAAATACGAGAGTAAATACATAGAGTAAATCGTAGAGTAAATACATTACTATATTTAAAACTCAAAAAATTCTCATTAAAAACTCGTTGAAAACTATAATTGCATATTACATTTTTTGTGCTTTAAATAGTTGGGTATACACATATAATCATGATTTATAAAGAAATTAGAAAAAATAGTTTTATAATAAAAAACAAATTGGTATATGATGGATTCAAAATTTTGAATTGAATTGAGAATATTCCCAGCCTTAATATTATTTAATATTATTAATTAATAGTGTTAACGCAAAATAGAATTAAATGAAATTTCTTAACCAAAAAAAAATATTTCACCAAAATTCTTCCAAAAATACCTTATTAATTTATTAATAAAAAATTTGAGAAAAAAAAATAAGCTAATTCCAAATTAGTAAAACTTTGAATATAACAATTGTCTGCAAAGGTTTTTTATTTTATAAGACATAGTTATGATTTCCATATAAAAGTTATTTTCTATTTTCATTATTTTAGTATATTTATTTGAAATTAAAGCTACCCGAAGCATTTAATATTATTATATTTATTTATATTAATAATAGTTTTCAGCGAGTTTTTATATATTAAATCAAATTTTTTTGTCAATTGTAATATCGTACACGTATATTTCTAGAACATTTTTATAAATAAAAATATTTATATTTTATATAAAATTCTTTAGAATTTAAAATAAAAACTAATAAGAACATCAAAAGCGCATGCAAAAAAATTTTATCTTTTACGCCACCTATAATACTCTATTTATATACCCTATACCGTTGGAAATACTGTCAAATATGACAATACCGTTGGAGATACTGTCATTTTGACAAATGATTTATTTGACAATATTTCATAGTTTGATTTTTATAATTTTAATGACTGGAATGAGAAAATGTGACAACTGTAGCTTAAAATACAATTGTCAGATTTTTTTTTTGATAATACTAGATTCACATAGAACGCTGTTAATTTAAAATGGGTGATTGGAAGTATAAAATATGTAATTTTAATTGTAAATACATTAAAAATATAGCGTTATAATGTTTTAAAAATTCAATTCAAATCTTGTCAATTATTATATCGATTTTTTTTAATATTAAAACGTAAAATTTAGTCTTTATAATTAAATTTGAAGATAAGATAGGTAGGGAATCTAAAGAAAAATGTAGATCTAACGTTAAATTGACTTATTCAACGGTATTACTGAATAAGTCAAGTTAATTTCAGATCTACATTTTTATACATCACCGTGTAGTTTTCACATCAAATTAATTCTGTAAAATTTTTACCATTTGCTTTCGGATTTTAGAGTATTTAGTAGGCGATAAGAACTATTACGTATCATTTTTAAAATCTAACATCTAAAGCAATTTTATTTATAATTTAAATATAATATAAATATATATATATATAAAATATTTAAAAATTACATGTAAATTATATGTGATTAAACAAAAAATCAAAAAATTATAGAAAGAAATCTTTTTAATATTAAAAGTTTACTTTTGTGTTCTCTTCTAGAAATATTTTTTTTTTTTTCTTTAATATTTTTTCCTCATAATGGAAATTCAAAAAAATTTAATTTAATTTAATTATTATGTTAGTAAAATTTTGCTTACTTATTACTGTACCTCGTTTAATGCGATCACATGTATTGTAATTTGATCCTGGTACTGGTGGTAATTTACGATTTGGTGGTGCAATATAACCCAATTCATCACGTAAATCTGGTCGGCGTTTGTCCAACGTTGCTCCAGGTCCCATAGTCTGATTGTAAACTACATCGTCTAAAATTAATCGATGATATCGAATACTCAATAAATTCAGAAGATGCTTTTGTTACCATTTTTTTATTTTAATTTTTTTTTTTTTTGTTTGTGTTTTGTACTTAATCCCAAAAATTTTTTGTTTTTATAATTATTTCAAATTTAATTCTTTTATTTTTTTCTTATCATATTTTAAAAAAATTTTCTCAATTTTTAAAAAAAAAAAAAAAAAAAAACAAATAAGAAAAATTTGGTGCAGAATAATATAAAAATTCTAAGAAAGAACAATGAAAATAAGCTTTTTTCAATGAAACTTAATTAAAAAGCATTCTTTGTAGAAAAAAGCTTTATTTTTCAATATTTTTCTCTCTTTCGTTTTTGTGCACTTAATATTATAGAAAAGCTCTTAAAATAAATTTTTATTGATTTTTTTATTACATAATTTATGTATAAATATTATAAAAATTATTAATTAATCTAAAACAATTAATTAATATATAAAAAAAATTTTAATCAAATCTTTTATATAATTTTTTACTTTGGTGCGAGAATTAAATTTTCATATAATTTTTTATTAACTTTTTTGTAATACAATAAAATAAATTTACCAGATTCCAATGAAAAAGAACGTTTATGTAAAAAGGAATTAAGGAAAATTAATTTCATGTAGCAATGCAAATGTTCTCTTTTTATATATATATATATAAAATTATTTTCAAAACAGGATACACCGACAAAATGTTCAACTCTAAAATACAGGAGATAGTTTGTAGTTAAATTAATTAAATTAAGAAAAAATGAAAACAAAAAAGCTCTCTTTTTTTTTTTTTTAAAAAAAAAGCTCTAAAATGATAATGATGATTGATCATGATTGATGTATTTTTTTTTTATTCAAATTTTATGATATTTGATGTTCGATATTAGTTGAACTCTGTATTCTGATTTACGTTATTGTTTTCAATCTTGTTTGGCGATAATGAAAGCATCTTTTAAAGAATTTAATATTTATTTTAAATTAAATAAAATTTTTACAAAGAAAATTTGTTAATTAAATTGAAAAAAAAAAACAAAAAATTGTTTAATTAAATTAAATTTGAAATAGAAGGAAAATTGAAATGAAGACATAATTAAAATGTAATAATGTGAAGAAGGAAATTAAACAAATGTGAAAGGAGAAAAAAAATATAAATAAATAATTAAGAAGGAAATTTTTGATGAAATAGAAAAGATTAAAGATTATTTTTATGATTTTAATATTTAAGTTTCATATTATATGTATGTACATGAACGATTAGGTTAATAAATCTAAGAACATTTAGCACTTTAAAAATGAAACCAATTTGAAAAAACAAAAATTATACTCAAAGTTTAGAATTTTGTTTCAAAAATTATTTATAAAACATAAATTATAGAAACATTATTTTTCTTTATTAAGATTTTCTTAAACGTTTTTCTTTCAAATAATTTTTTCGTTTTAAACTTGAAGGCATATCTATATTAAATCTTCAGGCATGCACATTTATGTCAATGTTATAGAATTCCATTATTACTGCAATTTCGATGTCAGCAAGAAATATTCTTTAAGCCAAATTGTATAATAACGCGAAATTATGTACATGTCGTAAATTCTAATATACGTTGCCAACGCAACTTATTATTTTTATAGTATTCTTTTTCCATTTCGCTAAAAGTTGTTGATTCATAAGAGAGAAATAACTTTCAAAATGTTAATTGCGAAAATTCCATAAATTGCAGATAATTGTCATTTACAAAATCAAGTGAATGACGTGATTTACAGGATCATAAAATTTTTGACATATTGAGAAATTGAATATTACTGCATTTTTGATGTCAGCCAGAAGTATTCTTTGAGCAGAATTATTTTCATTCTAATGTCAACAAGTAAAACTTATTAGTTAAATTATGTCTTATAGTTTCTGCAATTCAGCTTATAAATTACAATTCCTAAATTGTGTAGCATTTTTTTACTGCAATTTCATTATAGTTATATGAATTAAATTTTTATTTTATTTTTCTAAAAGAAAAACGTTTATATTTGAGTTTAAGTTATTTATAAATATCATTAACATTTCAAACATATTTTTAATGAAACGATCATGCTTCCTCTAGACAAAAAATATTCTAATAATTATTAGTAATGATTTCTTATTATTTATACTATTCAAAATGAAAATCATATGTATTAATTATAGACATTTAAAATTAAATTTAAAAAAAAAAAAAAATGTTTTATTTTGTTTAAAAAAACATGTCAAAACACTCAAGTCTCTAAGAGACAAAAGAAAAATTTTTTAGTTTTTGAAAAACAAAAACTTAAAAAAGAAAACACCAAAAGTAAATAATTGTTTTAAGATTTAATTAAATAAATATTATAAAAATATTATTAATTTTCATAATATTATGTATATTAAATACGTATAAGTAGTTATATTATATAAAATATTATATATAGCTGTAAATAAAAGTATTTTAAAAAATAATCTAATTTTACTTTATTTTTTTGTATAAATTTTCATCGTTTTAGATGAATTAAAAGCATTATTTAATTTTTGTTTTTTATTAATTTAATAATGATAAGCTTAAATTGTATTAGCTTAGTGATCTTTTGATAAATATTGTGAAGAAACTGTATAAAAATTCAAAAAATTTAAATACCTTCAAAAATTTTACAACAAAAAGATTTGATGAAAATAAAAACGTACTCAAATGAGCGTATTATTTAAAAATTTTAGAGTAAATTTTTATTTGATTTAGGGAATGAATTTACTAAAAAAAAAAAATGTTCACTTTCTTCACCAAAATTGAAATATTCCCGCTATCCGAATGATCATTTAAAAAAATTTTTCAAATTCACTTCAAATCATTGTTGAAAGAGTTTCACGGCGTTGCCTGAACTCAAACTAATATTTGGTGTACTAATCAACTGTGTGAATATGCCGGTCAATAAAGATATTTAAAATGAGGAGGGCTTTTTGTTCTTTTAAATAGTTTAACAGCTTAATGTCATTACAAGTATTTAACTTACCCAAAACCCTTTATTTTCCCATTACTGAGAAGAAAATTAAGTGCCGAAAATAAAAACGGAAAAAAGGATTTTTTTACATGTCACCCGAATACTTCTACAAAATAAACTTCGGGTTTCTAAGACAAAAAAATAAATTGAGCAATTTCAAATTGCATATAACGTATATTGATCATCTTTTAACTATTAACAAGAGAATGAAGGTTCATACAATTGCAAACTTTGGTTGAAATATTACTATATACTCTGTTGATTAAATAATGCTTTTTATCAAATATTAATGAAAACAAAAATATTTGTATTATTTTTCTTGTTTTTGTGATATGTCATGAATTTATCACAATATTTATATATAAAAAAAAAAAAAAACAAATCATAGACATTCATTGAAAGAAAAAACCTACAATAAACATCTTTTTGTCCTCCACGTAAATCATCTGCACGTCTTCTTGAAACAGCTACACATATTACTAGAATACCCACCGCAACAACAATACAAGTGGCAATTAAAGGCACCATAAAATTTAAATCTAACCATTCAGGCATCCACGCTGGCATTATTATCCTTGGATTTCCATGTCCCATGCCACTTGAACCCGATGGTGGGGCAATAGTTCCTTCGATTTTGTTTTTGTTTTGTTCCCGCATTTTGGTAAATTATTTAAATTATATTTACATATACATACCCATTTTAAAATATTATGTTGATAAATCCATTAATATTGTGGTAGATTTGACCATTTCGATTATTTTTTATGTTAATATTTATATATGTATGTAATATATATATTTTTTTAATTATATTTTTTTTTTTGTATATTGATTAATCATTCATATATGCATTTGTTTTTTTTTTTTTTTTGTTGTATTTTATAAGGAGTAGTAGTAGATTTTTATACAGATTTTTCGTAACAAATAATGGATAGAAGAAAAACATAACCAAGAAGAAAAAAAAAGAAAAAAAAAAGAAAAAAAAAATTATTAGTTATATTATACCTTTGTGATGGTTGCCTTTAGTACGTAGAATACAAATAACAACAATTGCAATAATTATAACAAGAATAGCAGCTACCACTGGTACTATTAAATTTAAATTCGATAAGATGATTCGGATTGTATCCTCAGCGGTTAATTCCGGTAAGTTACGCGACGGAGCGATTGTTCCTGAAACAACCAAATAATAATAGTTCTATGTTGGGTTCACAGTAAATGAAATCTATTTTTTTTTTTATGTTTTGATTTTAGAAAAAGCTATAGAGTTTATGGATAAATTTTTTTTTTTATTTTTGAAATGGTTCCCTTAAATTTGTCCTAAGAATATTCAATAAATTGTTAATTCTATATTTCTTTAATTTTTTTTTTTTCTTTTAATTAAAATTATTTTAGATTTTGTATTATATATATAAAATTACTTTTAACAGATAGAATATAATATATGTATATATGTATATATATAAGTATATATACGTATATATATATATATATATATATATATATATATATATATATATATATATATTTATACATATATATGTAACATAAGAATTTGTACTTCACAAAACAGAAAGAATTTCGAAAAGAAATATATGACAAGATAAACAAATAAAAAATCCAAGTAAATGAATTATATAGTAATTTTTGAAATAAATGCAATTATAATTAATAGTTTGTTTTTATCAAAGATGTATTGAATATTAAATATTAATAATAATAAACTAATTAATTAATTTTTTTTTTGATTAAAAGTATAGTAGTATTTAGTTTGAATTAAGTAAAGGTTAAAATAATTTGTTATTTAATTTTAGTTTCTTGTTTTTTTTTTTCTTTTAATATTTTCTAACTATATATAAATAGTAAAATGCAATTTGTTTATCTCTAATTATTTAATTTAAAAAAAAAAAGAATATAATAATATATATATTACAAATTTTTTAATTAATTATCTAAGTATTTATTGTATTATCTCTGAATAATTTTTTAAATTTGTTAAATAAAATATTTATTTTATAATAATTTTTTTATTTATTTATTTAAATAAATCATAATCTCCTAATAAATTATTTTAAATATTATATTATATATACTTATTATGTATTTTCAAAAAGATCATAGACCAAAAGAACAGCGTTAACAATTTTTTTTTTATAATAATCATAATCAATAACAAATTTAGAAAAAAAATTTTCTTAAAATTTTATTTAAAATAAATATTTTAAAAATTAAAACTGAATTTATTTAATTTAACTTAAAAAGAAGGTATTAATTTTTTTTTCATTTTTATTTTAAAAAAGAAATAAGCTTTCAGAATATCAAATACAAAAAAATATAAAATTAATTTAAATTATAATGAACGTTTAATTTTGTTTCAGTGTGCTTTTGCTATATATTCAAAAAGGGGTATAAAAAAAAAATTAATTCTTTTCATTTTGGATAAAATTTTTTTTGCAAAATTATATTTAATGAAATTAATTTCAAATTAAAATAATTGATTTACATAATTTGGATAAATTTTATTTTATTTACATTATTAACATATTGTTTTTTTATTAAATAAAACATGATAATTTATATAGAAATTAATTTTCGTATAAATGACTGTTATGTTTTGTAATTGTATTTAATATGCACATATATATGCAAATGTCTAATTAGAGATTAATGTTTCACTCAATGATTATTATTTCACAAATTAAGATATGTAAAATGAATTTCTTAAAAACGCAATATAAAATGCGCATTGCATTTTAATCGATATTGCATTGTAACTACTTAATAATGTCAATTGTCTGTCATATTTTTTAAAATTATTTTTACATTTTCGTTTTAAAAAAATTTCAATTTTGTTTTTTGTGCAAAATGAAATATTTTGAAAAGTATTAAGTAATTTTATTTAATGAAATTTAGTTCTAGAAATATTCAAATCAGAAATAATTTGTTGCTAAAGCAGTTATCAAAAAATGGCATGCAAAAGTTTTATACATTGATTGCTAGTTGGTGACCGTCAGGTGAAATTGTTCAAGACCGGCATTTGAAATTATCAATTACACCTTCTTGTGTTAAAATTTAAACGAAAAAAACGCCTTAATAAAATAAAATTGGCAATTAATCAGAAATAATTGTCATATTTTTAGTGAATTCCAATACATAAGCTGTATATTTTATTGAGAATACTAAAATATTATCTACCGACTGTCACATTTAATAATTACATATTTAATTTGAATTATTTGGAAATGTTATGTGTTTTATTCTTAAGCATAAAGTTTGCTAAATAACTTTATATACATATTTATGTATTTGAAGAAAAATACATTTCCATCTTGATCATCATTAATTTAAAAAAAAATTTATCCAAAATTTTTTATACAAATTTAATATCAAAAATAACCTTAAATTAAAACTAAATGTAATTACATACATACATGAAAATAATCAAAAACAAAAAAAATTTTAAATTGTAAACAAATGAAAAATATCCTTTAACGTTTAAAAAAAAAAAAAGAATGCATCCTTTTCCATATTATCAGTTGTTTCAGGAACAAAATTCTCGATTCTCATTTTTAGTTTTTTCATTAAAATTAATAAAAAACACAATTCAATCGAAATTAAATTTCTAAAAGTGCGGTACAGACATTTTTTAATTTTTTTTTTAATAAAATTTTTTTTTCCGAATTTTTTTTTTTTTTTCTCATTCGTATTGAGAACAGTTTTTTTATTTCATAATCATATCATAACCTTTTAACTTTCTTTTTTATCAAAATCGAAACAAAATTTAATAGTAAAAATGATATCTGATATTAGAAAATAAAATAAAATATAATTAATATTTTTATTATGGTTAATTTTTAATTTTAAAATTTTAGATAATTATTTGTAATTAAAAATAAAAATTAATAACTGCTGGAAAAAAAAATGACTTTAAAATAATAAATTGTAATAAACTATAATTTTTTTAATAATATCATTATAGGAAAACATTAAAATGATTTGGATTTGAAATATGCATTTTATTTTTCATTATTTATAATATGCAATGCTCATTTTAAAAGAGATTTTCATAAATTAAAATAGTAAACATTAAGTAATTCGTAACGAAAAATATATTTTTTGGGCATTATTTTATTAAATGTATTTGAGGCAATGTAATTGCTTCAACTTTGCAAGTTTTCACAAATTAATTTGTCGGATTTTCATATTGTAGCGAAAAATCACTTTAGGTATAAATTTTTTACAATTGAAATGCAAAATATCTATTTTATTTATAAAATGCATTAGAGAAACGACATCAATTTTAAAACTTGATTGTTCTATAAGACAAGTTGAAAAACTTTGTTTCTCATTTTTTTTGTAAATTTTCTTAGTCTAATTTAAGATTACTCTAAAAGATACCCAGACAATACATAATAATTACTGTGATATTCTAATAATTAAATATTATTATAATTATAATTCTAGCTTAAAACAAAATATTGCTCTTAATTTTTTTGATTGTGATTTTTAAAGTTGTATATATAGAAAACTAATTTTTAATTAATTAACAAGTAACTATTAATTAAGCAATTAAAAATGGTGTATAGTAGTAATATAATTATTATAATTAATTATATTATAAAAATGAGCACTTAAATCGTAATCATTTTAATTTTATATCTATAAATGATATATTTTCAAATAAATTAAAATATTCCTACTAATTTGAAAAAAAAAAATGTTAAAATTAAAAATAAATAAAAAAATTTATTATATAATTATATACTTTTTTTTTTTATTTTATATGGGAAGAAAAACAAATTGCATTTACGCAATAAAAAATTTTTAAAAATTAACTCAATTTTGTTTTACTATTTTTTTCTAAGAAAAACACAAAAACTTAATAAACGAAAACTAAAAAAATTAAGATTCTAACAGATAATTATTGTATATGGTAGTGTGTTGAAATGTTGTATAATTAAAATGTTAACTATGTTGTTGAGTTTAAATGTGAACTATTTGTTTTTTTTTATTTCAAGATTGTATAATGATGTGAAAAATAAAAAAAATTAAAATATTATTATATAATAATAAAATAAAATTTAATTTTTAAAATCAAACACAATAAGCAATTTATTTCTATTTTAATGACAAATAAAATTTTTGGCGTAAGAAATATGAAAATTTTTTATGAAATTGCGCTATTGAAGCTCTAATAATTAAGCTTATATAATAGTAACAATTAGTAATAACCGCCGAAAAATTTAATTTATATAATAATCTATCATACCCATTATTACATATTAGAACAGCATTTAAGCTGAAATAAAATTTGATAATTCTAGTAGCTTTTCACGAAATAGGTCCGGTTATGAATATCTGCTATTAAAAAAGTTTTGTCACCTATTTACTCTATTGAAATATTTATTACGAATTTGTAATTACGAAATTTATTAAGAATGTCTATTTTCGGACTTTTAAGTCTTTGAAATTTTTTTGATATATTTAAATACATACAAACATACAAATTGAAAAAACCAAACCGAAAATATCGAAATTATTTGTACCTATTTGAAAAACGAAAATTATGTAAAAAAATTTAAAGCTTTATTAAAAATTAATGAAAGTTTAAATTTTCATATTTAAAATAATCAAAAATTATTTTATGAGCTCATAGTTAATTGAATTTTTCCTACCAACATGACAATAATGTGTATAGGCTATACTAAATCTAGTTTAATTTCAGTAGACATTCATAACTTTTTTTAAAATTAAAATATTTTTCAGTAACTATATTTTATCTCTTATTTATGTTTTTTTGTTTTATGAGACATTTGTAACATTAACTTCAAAATGCCAACTTGAAGTTCCATTTTTTCCTCTTTTGACATATTATTAATATAAGGTAACAATGTGTTGAAAAAATCCACATCATCTTTAAAATACGGTAGTGAAGAAGATTCTTTTGAAACCTTTGATTCTGTCAGTATGCAATTGTCTTTTGAATATACAATTTCCTTTTTTAATAATTCTGAATCATTTTTATTTTTTAGTGTTGAAGAAAATTGAGAAGACTCTGACGACGCCACTAACGCCATATTTTCTTCAGAAGATATTCTTCTCTTTAATAATTCTGATGGCAATACATTTTTTGATTTTTCTAAAATTATGTAAAATTTTTATTATCAGAATTTTTAACAATATTATTTTATAGTTAAACATCTTTTTTATAATCGATTATTTAGATCCCATTTATAATAATTTATGTAACATAAATATATTTTTAAAAATTGTACTAACAGACTTTACAAATTTGAAGAATGGCCCAATGACTTCAAACAAAAATGTTGATGATTTCAGTTGATGTTCAATAGTGAATATTCCCAGGACACGATAACTTTTTTAAAATTATTAAAATATATATGGATTATGACTGTTTTTAAAATATCAAAAGTATTCTTGAAACATTTAATTTTTTAAAAATCAAAAATCATCAGCTTTGCATGCAAATATTAATGTCCCATCAATTTTAAAAATTGAAGTTTTCGTTATCAAAAATTGTTTATGGCTCCTAGAAACATGATTTATAATAATTTATTGTGAATGATGAATATGATCTTGATTGCATTAGTTAATTTTAATGAAAGTAACATACATAATCATGTACACTTTTCTCTAGAGTAATTTAACTTTATTATTCAAAATGAAGTTAATTTTTGATTCAACTTGTTTTAGTTAACAAACCCATTGTTATTTCTGCCGTAGTTTTTATACAGTATTAATGTAATGTAAATCAAGAGCGGGAACTACCGCGAATATAAAAAAAAAACTATTTAGTTCAGTTCTTCTTTACTTGACCATGCAAAATTTAAAATTTTTAAAATATTTTTTGTATAAATTTTGAAACAAAACAATATTCTAAACCAATCATTAAATTTGTCATTAAAATATGTAAATAAATTAAAAAAAAAACAAGGGAAACTCGAAAAATTATAAAATAAAACCGAATTATAATTAACATAAAACTTTGTGAAAAGCTGCAAACAGGTGATATAGGATTAAAGAAATAAAGTGAATTTTTTTATTAAGCATTATCTTAGATTTTAATTTTTGATTTTTCTGTTATTTAAAATATCGCAATATAAGAAAATTTTAATTGTTTTATCGCTAATTATTCACTTTATTTATATATATTTTCTATTAAGTTTAAGTACCACTAAACTATAACTCCAAAATACTCGAAATATATTGCAAAATTAATTTAAAATATTTTGAAAACTTTTTCATTTACAATTATTTTCTTTAAGAATACAAGTTAAATCTGGATTTAGTGGTATTTAAACATAAAGAATTCATTTTCATACAACTAGATAACTTTTTGCATAATCTTCTATATTTAAGCGTATAAAAAAAATCAACCAAGCAACACAATAAATACCTCCTGTAACAGTAAGTGTGGCAAATTCATATTCCGCAACAGTAAAGCCAGCTGAATTATGTGCAGTTATTCTCAACATATACCATGTAGCTGGTTCCAAATCAAGAACAACATAATTATTATCAGGTTTAACATTATTTGAAATCTGATTCCATTCACTTTGGTCCCTGAATATAAAAAAAAAATAAAATTGGTTCGATTTTAGAAATGAATCTTAAATAAAGTCAATTGAAAACATATTTTAGGACTGTAATTATTTTAAATTTTTTTGTTTTTTTTACTTTTTCTTGTTTTCTACTACGAAATGTGACATTGGACATCCACCATCTTTCCATGATTTGAAATGTAAACTAACTGAATTAGATGAAACTTCAATAAATCTCGATGTTTCTGGTAAAATTGGTTTTGATCCTTTTGTTCTTGTATTCAATATATCAGAAGCTTCTCCAGCACCAATACTAAAAATAAAAATTTAGAATTTAAACAACTTTATAAACTATGAATTTTTATTTTACTTGTTGTAACCAGTTGCATAAACTTGATATCTTGATCCACAGAGTAAATTTTCAATATTATATTTTTGTGCATCAACCGAAACTTCAGCAGTTTCCCATTCTCCAAATTCTAAAATCAAATTAATTTACGTTAAAATTTTCTAAAATAATTTAGTATATTTCTCAATTGTACCTGGTTTGTAGTGAATCGTATAGCCGTGTAGAGGAGCAGTGTCTGTTTCATGTGGTTTTAGTTTTACAGTTAAAGAATCGGTTGTTGTGGCAGATAAAGTTACTTGAGGTGATTGCGGTGGAGCTAAAACAATTAATTTGTGCGTAATTGAATCCTTAGCTATTGAATTCTCGGCATGGCATGTATATTCCCCGGCATCTTGTCTAGTAACAGATTTAATTAACAACGAACCTTCTGGCAATTGACGCATTCTATCATTTTGTGAGAATTCAACTCCTTTAACTTTCCACGTAATATCAGGTGTAGGAGAACCGACGGCTAAGCATGGCAGTTTTGCGTCTTCTTTAAATGTGGCAGTAAATGTGTCATCAAAAGAGGCAATTTTAGCTGGAACTTGATCACTTGGCATTGCTACAATACTCTTTGATTGTTGTCCTTCGCCAATAACAGTACTTGCAGTTACCCAAAATTCATATGGTTTATTTTTTTCTAATCCATTGGCTTCAAAACTAATTTGGTAATACGGAATCTTATGTGATTTTACTTCACTTTCGGCACCTTCAGCTTTGCTATATACAGTATATTGTTGAATAACGCCATTGGGTTGAGTTGGTGGTCTCCATGATACTAAAATTGCTTCTGGACCCATAACTAAAGCTTTAACGTCGGTGGGTGGTTCAGGGACATCTTGTTCAGTTTGACAATGAATTGGAGCACTACGAACACCGTCGCCTCCTGCTGTTGTGGCCAAAACTTGCATTGTGTAATTTGTATATTTTTTCAAACCGTGTAACACAGTATCACTTGAGGCAGTCTTTTTGTATTGACGTTTTGTTTCATCTAAAATGTTGGAAAATTTGATAATTTTCTATTCTTACCTGAATTATTAATAATGCAGTACTTACCATACCATAAATCACTTGGTGCATAAACAACTTTATAATTCTTAATAACACCATTGGCAGATTCTAATGGAGGGCTTACCCATGATACTCGAATTGTTTGTGATGTCAAAGTTGTACAGGCAGTATCACTTGGTGGTTGTGTTGGTGTACCTTCAGCAGTAAATTGTTTTTCTTCTTCGCTTAATGGTCCAGGGCCCATTTTGTTAAATGCTTGAATTACAACCGAATATTGTGTATATACTCTTAAATTTGTGAGATCTAAACTATGTTCTTTGCCTTCTTCTGTTGCGAAATTAACAGTTTCGAAAATGTATGTTGTATTAGAACTTGAAAGTCTGTAACCAACATAATATCCTAAAATTTCTCCATTCCATTCTGAGCGTGCTGGTGGTTTCCATGTTACTCTCAATGTCGTTTGATTAACTGGTTCAACTTTAATATTTTGTGGTTTTCCAGATGGTACTTCTTCAGCAGTAATTATTGTTACAGCTTCCGATGATTGTGATGTTCCAATTTCGTTTTCAGCAACAATTCTAATATTGTATGTTGTAGCAGGATTAAGTTTTTGTACTTGAGCCTCAGTCGTATGTCCAGGAACAATAACGCGATCAATTTCATCCCATGAAGCACGTGACCGTTTAAATTCAATAATATAACGTTTTAATGGTGAGTTTCCATCATATGGTTTAGCCCAACTTAATTGTACTGATCGACCGGATTTGTCTAAAACTTTAAGAGCGTATGGCATTTCTGGAACTTCTTGAATAATCATATTAATACTGGCATCATCACTTCCAAAAGCATTTGTTGCGACACATGTAAATAATGCAGAATCAGATCGTTCAGTACGTTTAATAGAAAGACTTGACATAACACCAGCAGATAAAATTTCTTCACGAATTGTATAACGGTTATCAGTTTTTGGGTCTAATCTCATATTATTCATATTCCATAAAATTCCAATTGGTTTTTCACCTTTAGCTTCACATTGTAATACAGCTGGTTCACCACGACGAGCTGTTTGATTACGGAATTTTTCTGTGAATTCTGGTGGAGCTTGCACACTAATCATAATAACTGCACTTAATCCTGAACCAATTCCGTTAATAGCTTCACATAAATAATATCCTTCATTATTTTTCTGTATATTGTCAATGAATAGGGTTCCTTCCTCAACACGAATATTATCATTTTGCTTTAAATCTTTGTATTCTCCGGGAGTATCACCTATCATTTATAAAAATTATTTTTTTTTTTTTCATTTAATAAGAAAGTTTACAGGCTGTAAAACATTTAAAAGGAAAAATTTCTATTAATGCATACCAACGGCACGTTTCCATGTTACTTGTGGTTTTGGAAATCCATCAGCTTTACATTCAACTTTAGCATCTGATCCTTGAGCAAAAGCTTTATCGGTAGGTTCAAGTATCCATCTTGGTGGTACTATATTTTTTTAATCGAAGAAAATAAAAATTTAAAGTTAGTTTTTTTGTTTGAAAATTTTAAATTATAATAAGCTTTCAATTTAATGGAAAATATTTTTATACTCATACATATGTATATGCATATTACATACATATACATAGTTCATAATAAAATATAAATAACTAAAAATTTTGATTTAGATAAAACGTATTTTAATAAAAATTTATATCTCAATTAATTTATTTTCCATCAAATTTTATAAAATGCAACTATTGATTTGTTCTTTTTATATAAATTTTCGCTCAAAATTTTATTCTTGAAAATTAAATTGTAAGAAACAAAAAATTTAATTGTCAAATGCATAATATTTTATTTTTCAACTTGAAAAAAGCAATTATTATCGCGATCTGTCACTTTAAACGACTGCTGCAGCTACGCTAAAATTGGACTTGCCTTACCACAGCACTAAAGTTAATTTTAAATACAACCACATCACTTTTTTTACAATTTGAAATAAAATGCAATTTATTGGGTAGTTGTCAATTATCTAGAAAATTCGTAATTGTTACTTTTGACTAATAATTTATGTTATAAATTTTTTTTATAAAAATTAGAACAAATCAATATTTGATTTATAATAAAGCTTTTTAAACATCAATAAGAAATTAAATTAAAAATAAACTAAAAGTCATAAATGAACAGGACAAATAAAAGAGGTGTAAAAAACTTAATATAAAATTAAAATAAAATCAGAGCATGCATAATGGTATATTATATTTTCGTCAAATGTTATTTATAATTGTTAATTATATTATTTATAGAATAATATAAATATTTTTAAAGCAGATTAATACATCAATATATTATATAACAGTTTTCATAGTTTGATAAAAATTATACAATTTTTACAGTACTATTTTACATTTTTTTTTTAATAACATTTTATTTAAATTACAAAATATAAACATATTTCTTGTAATTACAAAATATTCTTACTCCCATTCATTGGGTTCAGAATTTGTTAAATTTTTCGACCACTTATATTTTTTTACTATGTTACATGTAAAAATTAGTAAATGGCTCAGTTGAATGACTTATATTAAAGAATTTAGAGTGGTTACTTTATCATAGTAAGTATAGTAAGTTTTGTAAGTAATTACAAAATTTTGTATATTATAATATATAAAATTATTTTATTTCTTAAAGTTATAATTTTTTTCACTTATTACAATTTACAGTAGATTGTAAAGTATATTATATTATGAACAACAACATAGATTAGAAGTAACTGTACATATTTGCATAAGAATATATTGATGTTAGTTGATTGTCCATTTTATATCGTAGTTTAGAGATCTCACGAATTTAAGAGGTATATTCGATTTTCAAGTTCTATTAATTTCCAAATATGAAATATAAGTTCGAGACAATTTTATTAATTTTTTTTTTTTGTATTTTTAAGAAACCATGATATTTTCGTTCAAAAATATCACTTTCACGAGAATGAACTATTAAACATTTGACCAAAATTTACAACCATAAATTAAAATTTTATTATTTATTTTTTTTTAATTTATTTAAGAACTAAAAATAAAATTAATAAATTTAAAAGAAAATTTACTAAAAGAAATAAAGATTTTAGAAAGGAAATTATCTGGAAAACGGATAGGATTTGGACGGAATTTGAAAGGATTTGTTCGAAGGTTGAAATCCGGTTATTAGTATGAATTTTCTTTGCAATTCCAATTGATCAAATGTTGTTTATTATTTTTTATTAAATATGCACGACACAATTATTTTTAATTTTGTTTTTGTAGAAAATTTACGATTTTTATATTTAAAATCAATTTTCATTTTTTCTTTTCATAAATTAAATCGTAATTCATCGTATTAGTAGTTCGTTCTTTAATTTTCTCATGAATAGGAAAAGCAAGAGAAATCAACAGATTCTATATACTATATTTATCGTTATCCGTATAATATTCTCCGAATGTTAATGTAATTTTTTATATGTTTATGTATAAAAGCCCCAGGAAACACCAATGAAAAAAAGCGAAATTTTTTAAATATTTTTATAATAAAATATTTAGTATAATTTTTAAAATTTTAAATTACAATAAAGTTAAAAAAAGAAAAACAAAATTAAACAAATTTTTTTTTTAGAAGTTCGAAAAAAAAATTAACGAAACACAATTTCAATTAAAACGATAAGGATAATTAATAATAATAATGGAATATTTAAAAACATTTAATTATTATATATTTATAATTGTGTACGTGAACAAAATAATTAAAAATGAACGGTAAATGGTGTGCATTCTATGCAGGAATAATAATAATAAAAAAAAAAATTAAATAAAAACATTCCTTGTTTTTTTTTTAAATAATGTTTTTGTCATATTGTAATGTTTATTTTAAATGAAATGTATGTGTATATGTAATTTGATTGATGTGTTAATGTTATATTGATTTGAAAATAAATATTTGTGCATAAAATAATTTATTTAATTGTTAATTATTATTTTGTGTAGGAATAATAAAAAAAATAAGAAAGGATTAGGATATCCGCTGTTTCGCCATTTTTTTCAAATGCATAATTTAAATTTTGTGTGTAAATAAAATATATTTTATATAAGTTTTTTTTTTTTTTAATTTGTGTATATTGAATTATTTTTATTTATAGTTGTAGTGTGTTGATTGTGTACTTTTGCATAAATAAATTGTTATTATAGTAAGTAATTATTATGAGTAAATATTTTTATCTCATATAATATGCAAAATTAACGCATTATTTTTGTATACATTCTTTACAGCATGAATAAAAAAAATTAAAAAGAAAAATTAAAAATGTATATATATATATATATATATATATATATATATATATATTTGTTGCAGCCAGCAAAATCATAAAACATATATCATTTTTAATAATAATGGGTTGATTATTATTTGAGAAATTATAAAAAAAAAATTGGTTATTATACACAATATTATTGCAATATAACAGTTATTAATAAAGGCTATATACTAACATATGTGTATTTCTTTCATTGTTATTTAAATTATTTACAATCCCCAACATCCTTGAAAGTCAGTTATAAAATTTTGTTTCAGTTAATAGAATTGTTAAGATTAGTGTTTTTTTTTTTTCAAAAAGTATTGTGTATGATACAAGTTTTTTCACAAAATATGAACAAGACAAAAAAAAACCCCACACAATAAATACAGCAAGGAAATTTTCAGAATAGACAAATTATTTTATAGCTAAAATAAACCACTTTCATAATTTTGTTATAAATTTTCCTAATAAAAAGTGAATTTTTTTTAAAAATGTTTTGAATTCGATTAAAAAGTTGAAATGCTTAAGAATTTTCACAAATATTTGAAAAATTCATCAGTTCAATCACAATTTTATTTCCAACTGTATAAGTCAAAAACAAAAATAAGGAAAGCTCTGCAACTAAATTCCGACAAAATAACAATATACGTATAATGGAATTGTTGAAATTTTGAAAATAATATTTTTATTGACTTACATCATGATTGCTTGTACTTCTTTAAAGAGTGTATAAAGACTACCAATTAAATCTTTAGTGTAGTTGGTTTGTTAATTGAAAACTCTTTTATCCGTGAAAAACCAAAATTTGATTTTTATTTCCATAATTCCATATAAAAATATAACACCGTCTAGTAGAACTAATAATATATATTTTAAGTGTAATAGTGTGTTGATATTTTACGTATATGCTTAAAATGAAGCCAAACATTAAAATCAACGATCCTATCTATTATAACAAAATATGAGATCACAATTAATTTACACAGCTAATAAGCAAAATATTACAAAAAGCTCCTCCGTTTTTTCATTATAATAAAATATTTAAAGAAAAACAAAATATGATCGCAAAAGCCATAATCATATACAGCGCTAATATAGTGTGAAGAATTATAAAAGTGTACAAATTTTGTGTATTAATCTATATAATAAAATTTACAAAATATATGCATGTATACATGTATATTAAGATACATTAAGAAAATTTTTATCGAAAAAAAAGTTTATTTTCTATTTTTTTTATTTTTATATATTTATATTATTGTACCCTTAACTGCAAGTCCAGCTGATTGCATTGTGCTACCAGCTTTATTACTTGCTTTACATGTATAATTTCCAGCATGATATGATCCTACTTGTTGTATTATTAATAAACTTGTTTGTTTCCCTACACTTGTTATAGATGCTAATGATGATGTTACTATTTTACCATTTAACATCCATTCAAATTGTATTGGCATATCGCCTTTTGTAACAATACATGTAAATTGAACATAATCACCCTGTTGGCTGATTTCTGCCGATAAGGATAATGGAGCCAAGGATGGAATTTCTTTGAAAATGTTTATATGTATATGGAAAAAACAAAAAAAAAAAAAATACACAATGTAAAATTAGAGAAATAGGTCAGAGAAAAAAATTTTACAAACAAATAAAAAAAAAATAAAATTATTTTTAAAAACTAGATATTTCATATATTTACGAATGCATATAGAATAGGAAAAATATACATGTAATGTTGTTATCATTATTATCAAAGATTTCACCCTTGACTTTCAAAATAGAATGACGTCGTATACCACCAGACAAATTTTAACAATTCATGTAAAATTTCCAGTAATCAACAACACTGACCTGACGTATCGATAACATTAATTCGTTAATTTTATGTTATGATCTCTCAAAATATTGATTATCTTAAACCCAATATAAGTCTATTAATAAATTCCTTGAAGTTATTTTATTAGACATACAATACGAACTGTTTGACCACCATTAGCACCATTTTCATTTAATGGAAATTGTTCCATTTGAGAGATTTCTACATTATATAGGCAAAGTGTATATAATTTTTGTTTTACATTACATTCGAATTACAAACGACTCTAACTTAAAACAAAACACTTGGATCTTGTATCTTATAAAAAACAAATGGTTATTAGATTTTTATTTCTATTAT